CTGTTATCAGGGGAAAGTTCACTACTGAGCTCTCCATTCCAGTTTGCCATTGTCTGGGCAACTGACAAAGTGGCAATAGCTGCCTTCAGGGCTGGGCCTGCCAGAGTAAAGGATTACTTCAAAAGCATCTCCAAAAACCAATCAACTGACTCCTTAAAGGAGAGAAATGCCCTCAATAGACACAGTAGGTTGAATTTTTTTCTGTGTTATCACCCTGTCACATGAGTTTCCTATGGAGACTGTAAGTGGCTTTTTTCACACATTACACAGGCATGGTCAATTGTTTTCACTAACAGGAAACTCAGCCTAAGAAATGCCATCACTGGAGTGCATGCTAACAGAACATGGCTCCAAAGAGCCTACAGGAAATCAGCAGCAAAGAGATACAAAAAATATAAAAAAAATAAAATAAATAAACAAGTATTTTGCCAATTGTTTATGGTACTCAGTGCTTTAACAAACTAATAAAAGTCCTTAAAACAACATAATCTTCAAAGCAATACCACTCTGTAATACTATTGCACTAATTTGAAAGCAAACATTGCCCAACTTTCCTGACGTTTTCCATGTAAAAGAAAATTAGTATTCACATATGAATAAAATGAATGTAAGTTTGACTTTGTAACCTTTCAATACCAAAGAGAAAAAAAAAGCATGCAGCATTGTGACTGGCCATAGAACAATTATTCTTGCACATGAGTACAATAAGTGAGCACACTACACAAGGCAGCAAGTAAATGGGAGTTAAAAGGTAATGCATGTAATGCAATATAAAAATGTTGGGGGCCCGTTTATAAAGGACAAAAAAAGTATATTTTTCTTGCTTTTTCACCTGTTTTCATGTATCAACCTTTGATGTATGTTTAAAAGGTCAACTTCATAAATGCTTTTCTTAAAATTCTCTGCTGAAATTTGTCAGCTTTATAAATAGAAATTGAAATGTGCTGCTAATTACCGGTGAAGCTCAGTGTAACAAAAAGCCAGCGTTGTTCTAGTCTTTATAAACAGGCCCCAAATGACAAAATGCAGTAAGTAATTTAATGTGATAGGCAATGCAATGCTAAGGGTTAGAGAGATTCTGTCACAAAGCAAAACACCTATGTGATTGGGCTCTGGCAGATGATACAAGTGGCACAGGCCAATTTCAGGGCAGGGATTCAGTGTACAGAACCAGCTACACTGCCCATGGAGCATTGGATGTTACCTTCAGCAGAGCATACTTACACTGGTATTTTGCTTCATGAGTTATGACCAAAGGAAAAAAGCAAGCAGACAAGCATTATACAAGCAAACCTTTTATTTTATGTTCTTCATTTATAATGAAAAATATGTCTTTATTTACAAACCAATGTCTTTAATTACAGCTGTTATAAAGACATGTACAGTGTACAATACTGCAAACTTCAGCATTGGCAACTATATTTTATCAACACCAAAATGAAAGAAAACTAGAATTAAAATAAACTAAAATAAACTAAATTTACATTTACATATTACATCAAGCATATCCACACTGCAATGGTGGTTATTATTGAAAAGATGTGACCAACATTAAACCTGTGGTTACAGGCATAATTCAGCTGCCATGTGCAAAGTGTAGTCACCCACAGCTTCAAATAAAAAATTAATCTTTCACAGTTCTGACTTCAGTAAAGCACAGTCATAAGGACTGGTAGACATTACTGAACTTTTACCCTGCTTTCGTGTTTACCTGAAAATCTCACTGATGTTTGTTACGTTTTTTTAGGTGCACCTCTTATTTAGGGTGAAGTCAGACAGGTGGTTCACACAGGACTGTTGTAATAAAGAATGGATATGTGTCTTTTTGCTACTGGGCTGCACCAACTCAGCATAAAAGCAGCATGATCACCCCAAATGAGAGTGAAGGAAAGTCAATTTCTTAAAATGCTATATGCAGCATTTTTGATTGCTAATTGCTTTTTGTCCCACAATCGATTCATGGGGAAAAGCTACTTCTCTTATCTAATGTAACTCATTAGGGGAGGGACAAACAAGATCAAGAGTTAAATAGTTTTCTTATTCTTTACTGGTATTCAGTAAAAAACTAAATTAATAAGAATAATGTTTCACAAGGACATAAAATATAGTTTGTATGATTAGCTCCACTTTAAAAAAATAAAGTTTGCCAAGGCTGGTATAGGACTCTTTTGACAATAAAAGAGCCCCATGAGTAAACCTTACCACACTTGTTTCATAATGGCAGAAGGATTATTTGCCTTCCCATGTGTACAGAACATTTGTATTTACAGCAGTGATTGTTTGAAATCTCTAGATTACAACATTTATAATTTGCTTTTTGATCCATAAAAACAATGCTGGCAATTTTTTTAAATAGTTTATGCTGTATTGTTATTATAGTTAATGCTGTATTATAGTGTTGGCAAATTTTTTAAAAATTGTTTACAATGCTAAAAAAAAATGGAAAAAGAATAGGTTATAATGTGTCATTGTATCATCCTTACTTAAATTAACAGTGTTTTACTGTATGTACTGTAAACGAAAGGAGCAGAAAAACAGTAAAAGTTTGTTCAAGCAATTGTTGAAAGATTACAGATATCCCTTCCAAATAGGAAAAGAAACACACACCGCCTAACATGGAAACACTGCATGATCTAAGGATCACTTATTCAAGTGTATGAAAACCTAAGCAGTTCTAACAAGTATAAGGGTATGCAGTGATGTATTTAGACTTTGTGCTGCCCTAGGCAACACAAAAATTTTGCGCCCCCCTCCCCCCAATGAGAGAGCGAGAGAGTCAATAAGTGTGTATGTATGTATGTATGTATATATATATATATATATATTATATATATATATATAGATGAATCTCTCTCTCTTCCCTCTCTTTCTCCCTCTCTTCCCCAACTCTCTTCTCCGCCCCCCTCCCTCTCCTCCCCCTATCTCTCTCTTCCCCCCTCTCTCTCCTCCCCCCACCTCTCTACCCCCCTCTCTCTCTCTTCCCTCTCTCTCTCTCTTCCCTCTCTCTTCCCCCTCTCCCTTCTCTCTCTCCTATCTGTCTCTTCCCTCTCCCCCCCCTCTCTCCTCCTTATCCCCCTCTTCCCTCTCTCTCTCCCCTCTCTCCTGTCTCTTCCCCCTCTCTCTCTCTCTTCCCTCTCTCTCTCTTCCCCCTCTCTCTCTTTCCCCTCTTTCTATCAGTTGCAATGGCTGATGGTACTTGTAGTCTAGCAATTCACAGGAAACTGAATGAATGACTTTACTGTGAGAACGGAGCCCTGCACAGCTGCACTGTTTTCAAATTGTGACAGCGGGTGCAGGGAGAGGATCTCCTGTCTGTTGTCATGGGGGGGGGGGGGGATGCACATGATGGAACATATTCCACCCTAAAAACGTTCCAGAGGTGAACTGCTCCTTTAAGTCACAATGTTTTTCTATAATAATAAATCTCTAACCTAAAGCTAAAACTAATTTTTTGTTCTGGACAAAGTAGGTAAGTGTTAGAGCTTTTGTCAGGCTTTCATTGCTATGTCCCCAATGGGGAGTTTCCTCTGCACTTTCTGTTACAAAGACAGGGTATCAAAAGTAGAAAGCCAGGGTTAAAACCTCTGTGAGGATACCTAGAACCAGGCTTTAATTACAAAAATGTTACAATCTTTGCATGTAATTAGGTAGGTGTGGCCGTCTTTAGACATAAATGTAGGCATTGGAAGAAGTATTTAGGCCAATGATTTCATTAGAATGTGACAACCTTGCTCTAACCTAAGCTGATCAAAGGATAGTGGAATGGAATATTCCAATAGAGTAGGTTAATGTGAGGTTTTAGGTCACCATTAATAGCTAAATAAGATGATTACTAAAGTAGAAAAGACAAGGAGCAATATCTAAATGTTTTAGTTCAGTAATTTCTCCTCTCATACTTTATTAACATAGATAACCTAGTTCTACATACTAGCTGGGGTCAAATACATTTTATTAAACTGAGTGGATTTAAACTGACTTACCAAAGTATCAAAGAGTAAGCATGGTTACAGAACTCCTAACAAATCACTTATAGAATTAGTAGATAGGACCCTGCAAACAGTAATAATAAAAAGTGCAGTAACTCTAGGAAAGCAAAAAACAGACAAAACTACAGTTAACTAAAGTGTTGTGAGTAACTGCTCCTCTGCATAAATTTAATGAGTATGCTTATATTTTTATTTCAATCTCCATAGATTGTATTCCACATGAACTTCCCATTCCATTTTAAACTTAGCAACCACCTGGTTCATACTGGAAACAGAAAAAACTACAGTACATTAGTTTTACTATAGGCCAATTTTAGTAATGAGAGTCAGACCAAATTTAATGGTTAGACATAGTCATATCTATTCTTAGGTTGACTATGAAGCTTTAGGTGTTAAAATAATTGAGATTCTCTCTTTTTAACAGCTATGCAACCAGATCTACAGGTTTACTTAAATCTTTGCAAGTGGTTCTACGTTTAATTAAGATAGATGTTAATTTAAAATGGTTCCAGTGCAAGTAATGGACAGAAAAATGGATATAACCATGAACAATACAAGACAACTGACCCAGCATGATACAGCAATGTACAAATTATCATCTATTATACTACAACAGAAGTCAAGTTTGGTTCTGTAGGTGTGGTTGGTTCAAGAAAGGTTTGCAGGTGTTAATGAAGTATGTCCTCTTGAATTACACAGGGTGAGGGATGGTAAGACAAATGAAAATGGCATAAACAGGCAAAGAATGTCAAGCATTTTGTGGATTACAGAAGTAATGAGAAAGCCAAACACGGTTGTCTGTGTCAACAAGCATGGAAGTCCAAGATGCAAAACTATTTACTGGCCAGCTGAATAAAGCAATACGCTTTCTTGGTAAGCCATATACATCTGTACAAATAATTTAGTGTTAGTAAAAGTTTCTTCTAAACATATTGTGCAGAAGGTGTTCAGCATGCTAGCCAGTGTAAAGGTATGTACATTACATTTCAGCAGGTGTTTACTTCTTGTCATTACCATGTTCAAAATGATCATTGCTTTCATAGCAGCCAGAGTCCCGAGGGGAGCCTGCAATCTCTCCTTCTGTTAGCAATTTCTCTTGAGACCCAGAGTGATCACTGTTGCCTGTGACATTCAAAAATAGACATGGATATTGGTAATAGTTATGTTTTTTCACGAAAAGTAAAAATCCATAAAGTACTGACATAGGTCTTTATATTAGGAGTGTGTTATCACTGCATTAACAAATCTGTTGAAGAACATTGTTTTGCAAGCACCTATTAATCAGTCATTATCTTGTTGAAATTAACTTCCTATATTTGTATTAAGTTTCAAGTGTATTAGGGAACGTAAACATGCATTATCTATTGCATGTTGGGGTTTTGGTTTCTTTTTTGTCTTCCAAAATATACCAGTAATTTAACTGGAAAAATGCATATTGTTGTTTCTTTTTATTGAGGGTATGGTTTTGCAATGCAAATTGGCTCTTCGCAGAGGTGGATGACTCACCAATTTTTGGCTGGCATAGATTAGAAGATTTCAGATAAAACTATTGATCCAGAATGATTGGCAAAGTGTACCAGAGTGTGCTGCTTGCTTCAAAGCCATGCTATTTGTTAGCAAACAGTGTTTCCAAGTTGTTTTTTCTTGTCAACACCTACTGTGGGTAATCAATCCGGTATGCTAAGCGAAATTTATTACTGTAGATGTGCTTTTTGTTTGCAGAGATGGCGTATAATAACTATATAACTAAACATTTTTTTTACTACTGTAAGAGTAGAGCTTAGCCTAAATAATATGTTACCAATGCTTTTTATATTTCTGATATGTGCATGTTGTACCATGTACCCTGGTCTCATTGTATTGCTTCCTTTGTGTGAAATATCTGGTGATCCTGCCAGTCTCCTTGCTTTCCTATTTCAAACTGAATATGCTAGGTATAAGAGCATATCCTTCAAAGCATAGTCAGTTTTCTAGCTGTGCTTGGATCACAGCCTGCCTGTCCACCAATGATCAAACTTCTGCTGACACTCCATCTGCAAAGCCATTCACGGTAAGATCAGTGTACTTCAGTGTCTTCTCCACCACCTCTATAAGCCCTTATGCAGTTGAGAACGATTATATGATCACTTATTATAAAGAAAAAAAAAAAAAAAAGGAATTTATAATGTTTTTTGTATGCACAAACCTTTTGGCTTTCATTTCTATTTTAAACAGTAGGGCTATTTTACAAGAAAGGGTTCATATATACTTTAACCTCTGTGATATCTAGTTGGCATACTTTTCTGGCTTTGAATAAAATTTATTCAGTTATCTTTTTTAAAAAAACATGCTTGCTTTATTTGTGTTGTGCTTGCTTCATAGCTTAGCTTTCTAACTCAGGTGTCTATCTAGTAAATGTTCTCCCTTGCAGTTCTTCTGCTGGTACTGGTAAAGGAAAAAATTCCACTACAAAAGGGAAAATGTATTTGTAACAAGCTGTCTTCTCGTGTATGGCCACTCTTAAAGATTAACTGGATTATTCAAGAAACAGGGCTTGTTCAAATGTACTTGTAGTGTATAAAAAATGTGAATAATTTATTTGAACTCTCATTATTCAACATTCATAAATTAAAACAGAAATTTTAAATTAATGCATATAAGGGAGACATAAAGGCTTCATAAAAAATCCAATCATTACGGGGTGCCTTATGAAAAACTTACTGAATACAGTGCTATAAAGCTGGGCGGTAGAGGAAGATAAGGACTTGCCATACCACATCACACAATGTGGCTGATTCACTAAAGGAGTCAAGCCTGTTCACTTTGGAGAGTGCATTTTATTTCCCAATGAAATTTTCACTTAGCATGTGAATGAGGTAAAATTATGCTTCAATAACCAATAAGTAACTTCAATCATCCAATGGCGTGCAAGCAAAAATCTTGTTTTTTTTCTGTTGCATGTGATTGGTTTCCTCTGCAAAGTGAATTTTCACCACATTCATTAAGGTAAATTTATTAAATTAGCCACAATGGGTCAGATGCAGTGGGATCAGTGCTAGATGATGTGCTAAAGCTTGAGACTGTTTAGTATGGGTATAGCATTCTGTATATTGTGGCTCTCTATTTACTCACTCTATTTATTTATTATTGGTTGAATTAGATGGACTTGAGTCTTTTTTTGACCTAACTAAGTAACTTCCAAATAAGTAGCATTTTCTGCTGAAAGTCTGTCCTTATCACTAGCTGTACTGCATCCTCTGAAGTAATGTAGCAGAATGGACTAGTACCCATCTTAAGTAACAGTACATAACTGTGTGCCAGGCACAAAGAGTTGGGTGTACTGTGTTGACACATTTGGAGAAGAGAGGTCTATACCCCTGTGGATCTTAAGAGTCATCTAAAATGTAGACTTGCTGTAGTTGTCCAGCAATAACCATGTTTAGGTGTAGAGAAAATCCTAATGATTACCCAATGGATAAAATACTTCTAAAACAAAACAGGTTATGGATTGAATAAAATGCTATTTTTTGTAGCTTATGGACTCATAAAATCACATTATAAACACACACAAATGTAGAAATTTCTAGTTGCAGATACTATTCTGGAATGACAATATAAATTAGAAATTCTTACTGTCATATTCCTGCAACAACTCAATAGCTGTAAGGAGGACTGCTTTATGTTCTGGGTTCTGGATGTTCAATTCATCCAAATCATCTTCTTCCAGAAGTTTGAAAGTATCTAAATCTTCATATCCATTGAAGAGAAAAGTTGGCATGTGCTCCTAGAAATTAAAGCAAGTTCATGTTTAGAGTTCAAAATAAAGCTCACCTACAAATAGGGTTCATCATAGGTCAATCTATCAAACTTCATTTATTTAAACCCCGTGACGCTGGCTCCTCCCGACCCTTTAAGAGTTTCAGAAGCCGGGAGGTGAGGCGGGGTTTAGGGTCATGTGACAGCTGTGACACGCCGTCACATTATCGGGAAAGGTCCCAATCAAAAGAGGAGATCGGGACCTTTCCGTGAGTACCAGACATGTGCTGGGAGCGTGCAGGGCGAGCGCTCTCAGCACATATGTTTTTTATAATAGAACGCAAATGTGCGGCCGCTCGGCGTCTAGGGCCAGACGCTGGGAGGCTGCACATTTGCTTTCGGCCGGCGCCAAGAGGGTAATCATGTTCAAGACATTTTTTGTCAGGTGAATATGAAATATTGGATACTAATATTTTAAATGTATTTTTTCCAGCCAGCATATGTTTACCATCTTCTATGTAGTTTATCCCCTCACAGATGTCTATTATTAGCAGAGCTCAGTTGCTCAAACTGAAATTTAAACACATAACTAAATAGTAGTGACTCGAACCCTGCCCCCCCTCTATGTCTTTAACTTGCACAGGGCGAGCTCAAGATACCCGGTCATAGATTCTTTTATGACCAGGTATGTGCAGGATTTCACGGCTGGGAGAAAAGGCTTATTGCACTATACAAGGGCGATGCATACTGTACTTTTATATAACCTGTGGGATGTACTTTCATTTACATATTTGCTGTAGAGCAGTAATGCTCAACTCATGGCTTGCGGAGCACTCTGATGCGACATGGGACCTCAAACCAAGAAGCACATTCCCATGCTCTAGGATGGTAGGTAGGCAAGCCCAGATCGCGATCAACAGGTTGCTGTCTTGCCATCCCACAGCATCAGAGTGCATGAGACTGGTGCTCGTAGCAGAGAGAGTAGGAGCTGCATAAGCCGATGATTCCTCTATAGCGATGGCTCTTGTCCCAGGTGGAGTGATACTTCGCCTGGGACCTTTTTAGTAGCCTGGAGAGCAATGCTTGCAAAAGCTGGAAGAGGAAAAGGTCAGTTAATTAAACATCACATACACTGCACTTTTAAAATGGGCATATTGGCACTTATAAAAAAAGGGTTTTGGGCTGCTTTCACACTGATCTGTAAGTACAGCAACTGCAGCTTTCCTGTGGGTTAGCTCATAGACCTCTATTATATCCTGCAGGTTTGGTGCATTTTCTGAAAGTGCACCAAAACTCCTGAATGCAGGAGATTTGGTGTGCTTTTAGAATGTCTCCCCCACCCCCTGGATCTAAAAGACGTTTATGGCTCAGTGCAGTTAACCCGCAGGAAAGCTGCAGGTGCATTGCACTGCACCTGTGTGCGGGTAAACTGCAGCACATCAATGTGAAAGCAGCTTTATATAAGGGCTCAGGACAGTAAAGGCTCATTTACATTTGCGGTTTGGGGGAGGTAAAACCCCATAGTTCATGGAGGCTGTGACCACTTAATCACTTAAGTGGCCCTCAGTCTCAAAACGTTGAGCACCTCTGCTGTAGAGGGTGCAATCTGGGATACACAATTGAGGATATTCTTATTCTTTAAAGTGTTTGACTGTAAAATATAGGTACAATATTTGCTTTCTTCTCTGCAAGGAGGACTGTTATTCCAGGCTCTATTTTAGCTACAGTCACTTTAAATGTTTTTTCCCTGGATAAACCAACTTCACATTAAGCTTTTGTTTTAGCGCTTTGAAGGAAAATATAACAGAAAAGTGTAAAAATATAGCACAGGATCTGGTAATCAGTAAAATGTGAAAATTGGTCAAGATTTTTAATACTAAGCTTTAAGATTTTAGTAGGCTGACAATTTAAATGGAATTAAACCTTCTTTAGAAAGAATTCTGAGTGTGCCTGTCAGTGCTCCTTATTTGTCAGGAGCATGAGTAATTGTCTGCAGTGTTCTACAACAAACCAATATGCTCATGAAATCTGTACAGCCCATATGCACCAAATCATAATAAATAATCATACTGTAATACAAGCTGCAAAGCTATTCCATTAAATACACTCTGTAATATAAGCAACTGATTTCATACTTGGTGGTTTTATTGCTGTGGTGAAGCAGTTATTGTATAAATCTTAGTTTATACCTATAACCTCTATTAAGTTGGGAGTTCAGGTTATATGTAGGGAGTAAAATAAAAATCACTTTTACTCCTTAATCATTTCAGCACTGAGAATGCTTGCATATATTTTAGGTCTCTGCCAACACTAAGCTGGACAGAATGTTTGGATAGACAGTGAGTGTTTTATGAAGGTTGGATATTTGGCAATATCTAAAAGGAAGCTATATTTTTATGGAAAACAGTATATCTGAAAATATCAGGGTACCGAAGATATTATAAACCAAAGCCACAATTGTCCTGGGACACATCTGTTTACAACATGGGGACTTTCATAAAAATGTGGAAGATAAGATGTGCCCCCAACCCAATAACAATAAAAAAAGCTCTTCTATGTGTGCTATCACAGAGGAGATAGCAACTACAGTTTGTTTACAAGGGAGGGGTTCAGGGGTAGGGAAATGGCATTACTACAATAAAAGGCTACTTTAATATGGCAGTGCAAAGTTTAGCAACCCACAGAAAATATTCCTCAACTTGTAACAGGATTAGGATTGGTTGTTATGGGTTACTACAATTTATAAAGTTATTGTTTAAGAGAAATGGAAACCTCTTTTCAAGACTTACTAATCGAACCAATTTCACCCCTTAAAACAGAAGGAATTTATGTTGACTCCACTATGGAGATGAGTGGAAAGGCTTCCAATCACTGATTGCACACAGTCTAAATAGCATGTGTGCCATGTTTTAAAAACCCTAAATGTCACATGATAGGATACATTAAATACATTGGTTCATAACCTCCTTTTATGAAGCTAAACTCCAGTCAGATATTAAAAAAGGGGAATTTTGTCTTGTAAATTCCATATCTTGGAGCTCTGTACAGAACACAGGCAACACATTCATACACAATGGTTTATAGGTGTGTATGTTCAGGTGACTGGACAGTGGCAAGCTCTTGAGAATACTGCGCCCCTGAGGTGCCTCCCCTGTAACCCAACCCCGCTTCATGAGTCTTCAATTTTGTAGCAAGAAATGCAGAGTAAACCAAGGAAAAGAAGGGAAGGTAACATGTGTCCTGTACTGTACTTCAAGATATTGCATTTATAGGCCAGTAAAAATTCCTTTCATCTTACTCATACAGTACAGGACAACAAGCAACATACTCATACACTGTGGGAAGTCCCCAGACAATGATTTTGATGGGCGGGCAACTAATAGGCAAACAAAACTGTGCCAACAGATCTAATCTACAACAGGGGTAAAAAAAATGAAAAAAAAAAGTTCTGAGAAATGTACAGCCAAAGGCTGCATCTGCAGAAGACTGAGCGTCCACCCAGTAAAACTATTGGAAAGTACGAATAGAAGACCAGGTGGCAGCCTTACATAGTTGGGCTTCATAGGCTTGGGGCCAAAAAGGCCATGAAACTCTAGATCTGGAGGAGTAAGCATGCAAGAGTGAACCAGGTTTTTGATTAAGAGCATAGGCTCTGGGATTAGCTGCTTTCAACACCAGGCAAAATAGATTTTTCCAGGTGCGACTTTCTGGAAGTTGTTTTTCTTGCTTTTAGCATGGTAGGAATCACAGATTCAGAAATACTTATTTCCTAGACCTGGGATTCAACAGTCATGCTGGTAAAACCAGACTGTGAAGCAGGATAGAGAACCCTGAGACAGCATATCTGGCCTGTTAGGAAGAGACAGGGGCAGTCTGCTAGAAGTCTAAGTATGTCTGTGTACTAGGTTCTATTTTGTGGAGCAGTCAAGGCAGAATTTGCACTGAACGGAAGGCATAGATTAACCTGAACTGAGGCCAGTGGATTAATAGGGCATCCAAGGCCAAGGCAAAAGGACTCCTGGTTCTGGCAACAAACAGAGGTAGCTTGTTGTTTAATTTTGAGGTGGATTTGGCTGTGATGTGGACTGCAGAAATCACTGGACAGGAGAATCTGGTTTGCTTCCTTCAAAGCAGTCAGGCTCCTTGTGCCCCTTGATGGTTGCTGTGGTGACACTGTCTGACTGTACCCAGACTAGGTGTCCTTTCAAAAAGGGTGTGTGTGTGTGTGTGTGTGTGTGTGTGTGTGTGTGTGTGTGGGGGGGGGGTCCAATGATAAGCTGACTGCTCTAATCTCCAGGATGTTTTGTTTCCTCCTTTGACCATGTTCTCTGAACTGTCAAGGATTGAAATACACCTCCCCAGGCTTACAGACTTACTTCCTTCCAGTTTTAGGGAAGGACTTCACTAGTTTTAGAGCTAGGATAGTAATCCACCAAGATAAAGAAATTCTTGCCTGGCTGGATGGAGCATGGGTAAGTCAAGGGAAAGAACCTGCTATTTCCATGTCAACAAAATGTTTTGTTGGGGGAGTTCTTGAATGGAACTGGATGAAAGGTATTGCCCTGAAGGAGACCACCTTAGATCTCAGTTGTCAGGTATGAGCTCTTAAAGGAAAAATGTTCTTTTCTGGAAGAAGGACTTTTGCTTAAGATGTGTCTAGGATCAGACCCAGGTATTCTAGGTGAAGGGAAGGCTGGAGAACAGGCTCATTTAAATGTATTACCCAGACAAAGGCCTGGAGCAGCTGAATTTTTTTGTACATTTTTTTGAGAGATGCAAGAGAAATTAATCCTTCAGGAGGAGGTCATCTACATGTCTAACCTGTGACTTAGATGCCTGAGAAGGGCATGCAAGGGAGCCAAGACCTTTGTGAACACCCTGGGGAGCAGAGGTTTGCATCTGCAAAATCTTTGAAAGAAGGAACATCTTCAATAGGAACAGTGAGATGTTTGTTTACAAAGAAATTGTTATTCCTGTGGTTGATCCAGCGATCTCTGTCCTAAACTTCTGACGACTTGGTAGAGATGGAGGAGTGTCAAGCTGCACAATGCCATTGAACTTTTCACTGTTAGCAAACATGTTGTGTGAAGCTCCCTTTTCAATATATTGACACTCTGGGAGAGAGAAATTATCCAGAGCTTCCTCCATAATTGCTTCCATATCCTCTTCTTTCCCTTCTGTGTCTCCTTTCTCTAAGCCTGGCATATTAGGGTATGACTCTGGTTGAGAAATGGGTGTGGTAAAAGAGGAAGGGTGTTTTTGAACCCTTGACAAAGATGGCTGTATTAAAGCCACAATCTGTCTGAGCAAATGTGACACAAATTCAGAAAATGCTGCTTTATTCAAATAGGCCACCTGCTGTGTGCCTGAAATAGAGCTAGAACCGGATGCTGAGGCTGGTGTTAAGACCAGTTTCTACTCTGGTGCAAGGGATGCACCGTCACTCTGAGTATTATGTGGGCCTTTGGCAGCATGAATGTTCACCTGCAATTCTGAATTGGCTCCCTTTCATATATTCACCACCATAGCTACAAGTGAGGTACTCTCCTGTGGGATACTCATGGAGTAGAGTGTGGGAAATAGGGTAAGCATGTCCGGTAGAAGTACACAGTAACTCAGTCCTACAACAAATCCTTGTGATGTAAGGGTGGGGGGAAGCACCTGAGAACCTTATAAGGGCTCTAGGCAGAAGAGGTGGTAAAGTGTGCAACCAATGGTATGATATAATACCATGGTCGTTCACCTGAGACAGAGCTCTAATGGGTAGAATTTTAGTGGCACACTGTGAAGTGGATACATTCAAAACATTGCCCTGTTTATTCAGTAATGGTCAGAAATACAGGGTAATCCTGTCTTACCTATCCTCGATACTGGACTGTATATAAAGTCCATGCTTCGCCTGTCACAGTGGGTATATCCCTGAAGAGGTCTTCAAGGACTGCATTGCATAGTGATGGACCATGGCCTTGAACCTGTATAGCACCCTGTGGCTTACTCAACACTTTGCACCAAATGAGTGCCCATGCAGGATCCAGTGCCCTAGGAACATTAAAGGCTGTTCCCAAAGGGTGCAGTCCAGGTATTGGTCCCAAGGTTTTACAAAAGTTGCACTGATCTGAATACTGTGCTTCTCAATAAGAATTAGAAGACAGTGAGGTGTTATGAAAATTTTGAAGAAAATAATAAAGAACAATAATCTAGTGAAGCTGATTTTTCTGCAAAGGAGAATATTTCCATCACCTTCACACACTATCAAGAAACTGAGGAATCACGGGGCAAGGTAAGGTTATAGGGAAGATGCCAAAGGGGGATGTCCTCAAAGGCTTGCCAGTGTCCAATCACCTGAAGGTAAGGTATATGCCTATAACTCATGGTGTATGAATATGTTGCCCGTCTCTTGTACTGTACAATTTAGATAATTTTTTTTTTTGTCCAAAGGTGCACTCCATTTCAAAATACATATTTATTATGACAGACTGATTTGCCATGTCACAGTAGCAACAACATGCCACTCTCTGGAGTGCCAACAGACTACTTACCTTCTACTATGTCATCACTCCCTTGATAAATGAACCAGTAAAACATTGCTCCATAGCCAAAGAGCAAGTTTCTGCTACATTCTGACAGCAAGGGTGTGAAGACAAGTAAGAAAGATGTCAGATGTGTAAGCAAAGGCAGAAGCACTGCTATAACTGGGAAATAACGCTCAACTGGTGATCTTATTATATCAGAGTTCACTACAATGGTATTATTGCATGGATCTGTATATATAGGAAAGTATAAAGAGAAAGGTGATTTTTTGGTATCCTGCAAATGAGATTGTATTTGGTCTCTGTACTATTAAAATGCTTCAGAAACATGTCCAACCTTAAGATTGATGCGATCCAAAAGCTCTTCAACAGACTTTGGCTTTGGTGGTCGTCCCTTACGCCGTCTCCTTGTTGGCCGCTTGGGCTTCTCTTCAACTTCATTGATCACATCCACATATATAAACTTGAAAGTGCCAACCTTATTGTTCAAAAGACCCATCCATGTTCCCATTGGAGGCTTGCTTATAATTTCAATAATGTCACCTTTCTGCAGTAAAGGAAATTGAGAAAGGTGTTTAAAATTTCCAAACCCCCATCAATAAGAACTGGCAAGGACCATCAGAGATTAATATTACACAACAATGCATCAGCTGCGAAGTCCACTATTGGGAACAGGCCACAAGGGATTACAGTGACATACTGCACGGTTATTAAACACATTCTATTAAATGCCTCAAAGAGGCTTCTATTGTTCAAAACAAATCTATATCAAGATGTTACAGCCTGTATTCTACTGAACCTATTGAATTTACATTAAAAGAGGCAGGAGTTCAACAGAATGAAGATCTAGGACACCACAATGCATTTCAATCTGCTTTATTCCAAAAGACAGGTGGATATTCTTTCACAGCAATCAGCAACAGTCTTGAGCTCTACTCTAACATAGCTGTTGTAAGTCATATAACATAGTTGTTGCAGGCCAGGAAAAACAGCAAACCTTTTCCCAGTCAACTGGCCTTTTAATCCTTCAGTTCCAATGTTCTCATATAAGACTCAAGAACTGATAAATCACCTTTAAATTATTTTTAAAATTTTCTCATCTAAATATAATATGACATTATATAACTGCCTCCTGTTATGGTTTTAAATTAAGGGATGCCATAAATAGCTCTAACTTCATCCAATTCATGCAGATTTGGCTGAAATTTGAGTCATGGGTGCCATTGTTTGCACCACGTGGATTGACAAAATGTGATTATTCAGGTGGAAAATTGCCTGATGAACAGCACCTGCATCCAATCAGATGCAAGCACTGTTTGGGTATTCTGACAGCACTGGAGCCATCTGTCAGACTGCAATAGTCAGCAGGGGAGATTCATCCATCCATCTAATGGGTGTATGACTATCTTATTAACACCTATCGGACACTAGCAGTCATTATCAGTCAAGACTTGTCAGAGAGGGAGATGGGAAGGGGTTGAACAATTTTAGAAACCTTTGTCTAATTGCTTTTGTTGAAGAAGAAGGGATGATGACATTGTAATTGTTTCTGTATATCCAACTGACCTCTACATGATATCTGCAGACATGTATTACAAAATGCTTGGAACTTGTGCATATAATCATTTTTATTCCTAAAAGCAAACACTTAATCCTTTTATCCTACTAATAACTACTTCTATCTTACATAACATTTATAAAAATGGAGTTCTACCCAGCTTGACATCTCTATATTTCTATACTTATTATTCCAACACCTTTTTCTCATTTTCCTATTTAAAAACAACGCATGCCTAGACTGTAATTTTTGACTATGTATAACACCTTTTTTTAATTTTCCTATTAAAAAACAATCCATGCCTAGACTGTAATTTTTGACTATGTATAAATCCCAGGAAATTCCAGTCTCTCTATTCTCCCAAGATCTGGTATATTTAATGTCTGTTAATAGGTAAAAATATTTTCTAAAATACTTTTTCTTTAAAATATAAATATATGCAAACCAAAGAACAAAACTGTACTGACACTTCTTTTTTCAGGCTAAGAACATTCTCAGCAAGTACATAAAAGACCTGTTGATCTTTCCAGAAATGCACTGTCCTTGTCACTTCCTGTAAGAGTAACTTACATAGTCTTACATAGTTAGTAAGGTTAAACAAGGACACCAGTTCATCTAGTTCATTCAGTGTTTAAAGGGTGGCCCCATGTCTTATTTTACTCCCTGAGACTGAATAGTTTCTCCCTTATGTTAGAATCGCTAATTTAAGTATTTGTATATTGCTATCTCCTCTCAAGCGTCTCCTCTCCAGGGAGTATACGTTTAATGTTTGTAATTGTTCCCCATAACTGAGGTCCTCCATTCCCCTTATTAACTTTGTTGCCCTTCTCTGGACTCTCTCCAGCTCAAGCAGATCCTTCCTGAGGACTAGTGACCAGAACTGGATGGCATACTCTAGATTTGGCCGAGCTAGAGTTTTAAAAAAATGGCAGGATTATAGGTTTATCTCTTGAGTATATACCTTTTATGCATGCTATTAGGCTAGCTTTGCTTGCTGCCGCTTGGCATTCCATGCCATTGCTGAGCCTGTAATCTAATAGGACCCCCAGATCCTTTTTCCATCCTGGATTACCCAAGAGTTTCTCCCCCCTTGCATTCATATTATTAGCCCCCCTTCATTTTATTAAGGTCTTCTTGTAAAGTTTCTAGATTGTGCTGCAACGTTATTGCCCTGCTTAGTTTTGTATCATCAGCAAACACTGAGATTGAGCTATTTATACCAACCTCTATATTACTTATGAATAAATTAAATAGAATTGGTCCCAGGACAGAGCCCTTAAACTCAAAACACAAACAATGTTATGTTCATTGTTTGTGCTTTTTCCTTCCTATTATCTTCCTCTCAGGAGAGCAGCCTATGGCGACAACCACGGCTCCTCCATAGATATGGTGCAGTGAAGGAATTTTTCCACTCTAGGACAAGAAATGTGTTACTGTCAGGATCAACAGGTGGAAATAAAGGAGAAGAAAACATTAAATATGAAACTAATACATCCACCTTAAAAACTGGTAAGCTGCAATATTTTTTTTACTTTTGTTTTTAATTGACAAACTTTAAAAAGGAGAATTATGAACATAGCATTGCACATTTAGTACAATTAAAAATGACTTTACTTGACATTAACAATTTTGTTATAGGAGTTATCTAATTAGGGGTACTCTAGAGCCATGCTTTGACTAAATAAAATGAATTAGTACATTAGATACCAGCAGCTGATCTCCCAGGAGAGAGAAGGAAAAGACAATGACCAATTTAGATTTTCTCAGCAAAAAAAATTGTGTTTTTCGAAGTAATTGCAGTGCTAATTGTGTGCATTCAAAGACACAAACACTGAATGATGCAGGTACCTCTGAGAATCAGTTTCCATGGACAGCTTTATAGGACATACAAGCTGATCATAATTATTTGAGATTTTAAGTGCACTTACCAAGATGCTTAGCAAAACTTATTGCCAACATGATATATTTAGTCTATGATTTGCTGCGATTTCTAATTAAATGCTCAGATAACAAATAATTTTGCAGCATCCTGCTTTATTGAAAATGTTTCAATAAATCTACTATTTTGTGCAAGAGCACATAAATGTTTCATATTGGGTGAGCCAGTTGACACTTTTTCAATGACTATATTTGAAAAGCAGTCAGTCAAATCTTAACTATGTACACAATAATTAATTAGTAGAAAAGCACCACAGAACATGTCCATGCTAACCTTGAGTTTCAGGGAATCAGAGTCATAAGGGCTGGGGGTGAAATCTGTATGAACTTTGGCTCGGCCACAGAAAGGTCCTCTGTATGGCGGCTCCTCATCATCACCATCCTCAGACTTGACACTCTCTCTGTTGCTAGCAGATGAGTCTGTTGTGCTGACAGTTTGGCCACCTGATAAAACAGATCCACAACAGAATGAAGTATTGGCCTGAAAACAATACTTATCTATTGTGAACGTTTCTCTTCTGAACTGTACTGCTGCAATCTGTACAATGGAAATGATCTTGTTTTTCAGCTAGGAAGGATAATGAGGATATTATGCAGGCCTTTTAACATACAAAATATAGTTAAGCTACTAAATGAAGATTGAAAGAATGTTAAATGACAACAGACAAACAATTAAGCAGGCACATGTAGAAAACCATCTGCAGAAACATTCTGTCTCTCAATTGATATCCTGTGCACTTTGTAAACAGAATCCTGTGACTAGAGTACATTCAGAGAGGTACAGTAGATAGAGGACTAGAAACCAATATATGAAGAACACATATGCTTACTCATTGAACTTTGGCCACTCAAGGAACTTCGAAGACTTTCCACTGAGCCCCCAGCTTTGAGTTTTGGCTTATCAAGTGTGCTGGTGGGGGGATGAGGAGATTCAGGAGACCCAGGCATGCCATCTATACTCGAGTCCTAGAAAACATCAATGGCAATATTAAGTTATAAAATGTCCTGTATCTTAAGAATCATGTACTTTATTTGATGTTAAATCAGCTTAACATTTGTATTTAGAAATATAAGAAGAAATAAAAATCAGACACACAGTATCTGCCAAATAGTTAAATCATATATTTCAAATAAAAAAAAAAATAGTAGTGGAGATCTGATCCCTTTTTCAAGGATTCTATGCATGAAGGTAAAAAAAAATTCAGTGTGCAGCTTCTCCCTAGCCTCCCCAAATACTTACCTGAGCCTGATCTCGATCCGGCGATGTACCTGCTGCTGTCAAGTGAGAAGCCAGTGAGAAGGGAGCGGGGGGGCGAAGCCGAATTGCGCTCAGTGGGTCTTATAAACACACAGAGGTGGTTTGGAAGCCAGCACGCAAGAGTGCCCCTAGAGCATGCTTGCTCTGGGGGCACTCAGAAAAGGGGAAGGGCCAGGAGCGCTGGCAGGGACCTGAGAAGAAGAGGACTGGAACTGCTACGTGCAAAACCACTGTACAGAGCAGGTAAGTATAACATGTTTGTTATTTTTAAAACAAAACAGCTGAACCTTTAGTATCACTTTAAGGAGACTCCCAAATGGTTAGGAGAAAGCAAAGGGGGAACACTTATGAGATGACTGCTCAGAGCATTTAACATCCTAATCCTTATGCCTGTTGATGAGAGACTAATTGAAAGTGAATACAGCAGAGATACTTATGGAGGCAAATAAAGCAAAAGAGACAAAGAATAATTAAAATATTAAAAAATGAGATCTGCATCAGTCTGGTTGCAATGTACAACCAATGTAGCAGTAATGCACTTTTTAATGTTAAAATTACATCTCAGTCACATACATCTGGATTGCTAAGCTTCTTCCAGGTCCTAGATTCATAAAATCTTAAGCCCAGAAATGGCCCTTTTAGCAACAATAGCAGCCTGCATATTTGTGGTCTCCCACAGTACACAGAACATGGAAATGCAATTATTTTAGTAAATATAAACTACTAAATACATTTTCTCATCAGCAGTATATAGCGGTCTTGTGACTCCAGCCAGTGTCCAGCTGAGCACTGCTTAAAGCTTGTAGGAGGAGTTTTCATTCTGCTCTGACTGTCCTATGAGGATGCATGACACCTGACCCTCTGTCTGGACAGTGCTGATTGGCCCTGTGCACCCTTCCAAAGAAAGAAAAACTCTCTAGCTATACACACTAAAACGAACATGTGCAGAGTGACTCCTAGAGCTTTGTACTATCAGCCAATGGATTGGGGATAGTGGAAGAAGGGGAGGATCAAATAAGACTGGATCAACAGCCTTTTTACACCATGTGGAGGATTAACTATTTAGGTTCCACAGTAAGTATAACAAGCATGCTTTAATGCATATACAGACTTATTTTACTGTGTGGGTTTAGTAACACTTTAAGTAAAAGTCACTAATTTTAAATTATAGATGCTAGATTAGATACTCTATTAAACAATAATATAGAAATGTTTACTACTGCTGCTGCTCTTTACCAAGCTGAAATCTAAAACAGAGTTTGCAACTTTAATCACATGCTATAAACAGACATGTGGTATTTATTTCAGCCAACAGGGCTTTCAATTTTGCACAGTAAACAGTTTGCCAATTAATGGGAAGGACTATTCTGGAAGCAGCAGCAGTTACAGCCTTCTGCTGCACACAGGATTACGCTAAATTAAACCAAGCTCTATTGAAAACTTTAAAAGTAAAAGAGCAGAAGCCACAAAGTGTGGTCCAATCATTTTATTAGGCCTATTCTGTGTCCCTTGATCTAGTTTCAGCACCTACGCCTACTGGCTACATTACAAATTAACATGTATGTCAAGCCTAAATTATTATTTTTGTTTTTTTATATTAGTTTTTTTATGTATTGGGCATGGTTAGAACCCCTGTCTAGTTTTTATTGCTATCTAGGACCCACTCCCTTTTTTCCCTGCTGATGTTTTTTACCAGACAGAAAGTGAGAACAAAATTGAAACAGGGACGCAGACAAAAATACAAATCTGACAGGGGTTCTAGCCTTCCCCTACACTATTAAAGAAAAGCAATTTTATTTCTGTTTGTGATGCTGTTATGTCTCCTAGTTTTGAGAACATTTTGTCAACAGGACAGTATAAAGTAGTGAAATAGTAGATAGTAGATAGAAATAGACAGACCCTGGATAGAAATAAAAACCCATTAGGGTTCTAGCCTTGCCCCTATCTATCCAAAACTGTTAAAAAGTTTTTGCATGACATGCGTGTTAACTTGTAATGTAGCCAGTATTTACCTAACAAAAATGTTTTAGATATGGGACCAGGCTGGAGGAATATACTCCTTAATGGGGATGCAGATAGCAATAAAAATTAGATTTTAAGGGCTTGTTCATACCTAGTGCACTGTGCAGTTTTGGACGCTTTTTTGCAGCACACTGCGATACGCTGTGTATGTGAATTACAATTCATGGAAGCATAACAACATAAACATGTGCTACAATACACCACAGGCATGCTGTGTGTAATGGTGGATTAAATATTGTCGAAGCAAATTTTTTTGTACTGAGGCCCATTCAAGAGGAATAGGCTGCCACAATACAGCATGCCCCAGTGCACAGGTTGCATGCATTACTGCAGCATAAAGGGGACCTAATTCTTCCATACTCAATCAAAAGAAAGAAAAAAAAGTTTGGCTAGAGTTCTACTTTAAGCATAACATACAAATCACATGATCTGGTGGATTGGTCAATGCCAATTGCTTCTTGCCACCACACTTTATCTATTTTAAAATTGCAATTACAGAGGGTTAACTGCAGTTATTGAATTTAAAATGGAAGTAATCAGACTTGTCAGTCATTATTTACATGCTGGCCAATAAAAAAATGCTTGTTTAAACCTATTATAATGCAGTGGGCTCGAGGTTCTTATTCAACACAAACTCAGCAATATTACTGAAGACAAACTGTTTAGCTTAGGAAAATTACAATGAGCAGAAAGAGCATCTTGTCTTGTGCTTGACGCCAAGATGAGTTCAGACAGGCCAAGTACATGGAACTTACGACTAGTCATAAAACTAGTTAAATGAAACCTGTAATTTGCATTCTGCAAGACTAGCGGCAAATGGATTTAATTTCTACAGTAGCAGCTGTCAGCTGGAAAACAGGAAACATAATGTGCTTTCTAAACCAAAATCTAAACCAAAATCTCCCCTTTGAGCATTGCCAACCCATAATAGGAACTAAAAACAGAGCATCAGAAGTCCAATGGATATTAGGGAGTCTAATAAGCAAGTTACTAGTCTACACTTGTTTGGTTTAAGTTTTTATATTAAGTGGCAGTAGCAATGGTAGTTCAGGGTCACAAATGGTCATTTGGCAAGGCTTACATACTACAGAGTGACATACTACAGTCTGTCTGCAGTCCCATAAACACAAATACTAGGATAAGGGTTTAAAGGGAGAGGGGAGGAGTAGATGATTCTAGCAAAAGCTTATCTCAGTCATGAGGGGCTTAAAAACTAGCAACAAGACCAGGTTTTCTATACTGTTTTATTGTCTCCACTGAGGGTGGCTCACTGGAGGGAGTCTGATGCACGTATAAGACTGGTTTTCTGATCTGGCTGAAAAAGCCCATGTTACACGACCTTCATCTCAAGTCTATGGCAAGCTTAAAACCTGCTGCAACCTGGTAAGTCCCTGCTCTCAAGGAGATTACAATCTAAGGATCCTAACTCACTTTCATACACAATCTAGGGCCAATTTAGACTGAAGTCAATTACCTACCAACATGTCTATGGCGTGAGTTATCATGTGAAGCCAGTAATGTACAGCTGCTGATTTTGGTTAGTCATTGTTCTCATCTCGAATTTGTAATAAGTAATACAAAAACGCAATGTCTAGTAAAGTAGCACAATCAGTTTATACAATGACAATGCATGTAAATAATCACTAAAACATATTTTAAAATATATTGTTGTAGTGACCCTGTGGGGGTGATGAGGTGCCACATCCAAAAATATTATTATGTTATTTGAGAAAGAAAAAAAAAAGGAAAAAATTGCTGAAGGCACCAAAGATGTAAGTATTTCAGTTGACTAGTAAAATTATTACTTTAGAGCTCAACTTAAGCAAAAATTTCACTTTGTTTTTGAAAAAGTGAGGAAGGGTTAGAACCTCACTCAGTGATGGGAAGTCTTTCCAACAGGGAGAGAGACAGCAACTACATCAGAGAATGGTTAAAACTTGTGTGACTTCATGAGCCCTCATTTATTCTGGTGTCACAGGGGTGTCACCTTCTCAAAGTTAAAAAGAAAAAAGGTTCTATTGGAGCTGGGTTTCAATAACACATATAAATGGTATTGATACAGTTTTCAATCCATTTGATATTCCAAAATCCTTTTTAAAACATTCAGAATATATCATATGTGTGATATAAAGTTTATATATTCTGCATATCATTCACCCCCTATGTACAATGGCCCTAATCACAAAAAAACAATCCTGTTAGGACTGAACAACCTAAGATTGTCTTTTGTTTAGGAGTAGGAATGTAATAGAAGACAGAAATACCATTTGTATAGGAAAAAATGTACAAATGGAACAGAAGGTAAAGAGGCAGATTGAAGTAAAAGTCAGCCATCAATTGCTTGAGCGCGGCATTCAATTTAACTGTGGCAGGATGACATATTAGATGGATTAGTAAAGTAAACCACTATGTCAGCTCTCTCTAGCATGCAGATCGTTTGTCTCCTCTCATGAGTGAAAGACACACTCAGACATTTGCTCGTTCTCTAACTGTTTATAATACACCTCCCCCCCAAATAATACAGGTATAATTCAGAGTCAGCAACATTAATGGTTAGCTATGCTAGGGTGAAACTGCATGGAGGATCTGAAATTAGCCATTTGTGAACTGTCCACTGCATTTTACTGCAGGCGAGCGGCTCGTACAGGCACAATCATGTACTTGTACATCAGCAATGTCTTCTGGGTTTAGCCGCCCGGCCGACTCCAGCTGTGATTGGACATCCGCAGGATTTTGTCAGCAGGTTTCAGCTAATGATTCATGGCTGAGACCCGCTGATCAGCTGTGTCCAATCAGAGCCCAGAGCCCTGTGTTGACATACAACACATGGCTCTGTACAGCGGGAACATTTTTCTTTGCAGGGAGAAGGAACAGATATTTAGTAAAAAGCAGCACGCATTACGCTTTGCTATGCACACAGGTAACCCTTTGATCACCTTAGATTTTAAAACCATTCCCAGCCAGTGTCATTATTACAGTTGCAGTGTATAGTATTATCACAGATCACTGTATTCGTGTCACTGGTGATGCTAGTGTTGAGTTGCATGACTGCGCAATTACCCGTAAATGTAGCACAGTGCTCAACAGCAAAAAATAGCCTTCTCATGAAGGGGGTAAAACCTTCCACAGTTCAAGTGGTCAAAGCAGAAAATTTAAATCACAAATAACAATACAAGTTAAAATAAAATCTAATTCTTTGCTGTATTATTCAGCTTCAGCTCAGATATTTTCTAACAGTCTTTTTTTCCCTGCTACTAGATGTCCTCAGTCTTACGGCCACTATCACTCAGCCCCCTTCCTCTGAGCCATCATTCAGCCCCCTTCCTCTGAGCCAAGGCTGTCTTAGACCTGCCCCAGCCTCCTATTGGACAGGAAAAGGAGAAGCAACACAGTTAATAAGCTTATCCCACAGTCACTCTGCTTTTCCTCCTACAGCATGCATCTTGTCAGCACATGAATTGACAGGATCCTTGTATGACTTGTTTCACACTCTAGCCATGCTGTACCAGGGCTGCAAGAAGCTGTTGTCACTCCTAGATTGTAAGCTCTAACAAGCAGTCCCTCTGTTTCCTCTTCTACCAAATTGTATCGTAACTGTAATGTCTACCTTCATTTTGTAAAGTGCTGCACAAACTGTTGGCGCTATATAAATCCTTTATAATAATAATAATGTCTGATCAAATTCAGGCACTTGCATTTAAAAATACATTTAACGATGTATTAATGATTACAGAGCTACATTATTTTATGTCTTTTGCCTGGAATTCTTTTTTAAGCACTCAGTTCACAGAACCTCAACATCTAAGTGACATCATATTGCATAAAATCAAGATGAAATACTAAAGTGTTTCCTAATTCAATTACACTATATACCATTTTATAAAAGCTGCTCTTTATCAAATACCCTGCGGTGTGGGTTAGTACTCAATAACAGTAACCAATACTTTATAAATGTTTTCCAAACAATTTATTATTTCTGAAAAGAGCAAAGTAGTATTGGCTGAAACAATATTCTGTTATGCTAAACTTAACTTCACAAGCAGATGTACCTGCTACACATGTCAGACATACCATATAAATACTACAACCTATGAGCCTATGTAATATTTCACTAGAATACAGCCAAGAAAAAATGGAGTCATAATACTAGGGAAATTCCTTCTTTGTGTTGATAGTTTATGTTGCATGAAAATATCACTTTCCTAAATAACTTTCCTTCAATGAACAGCCATTGTTTATAGCTACGATATGTAATTAGATCCAGCCGACTTGATTTCCTTCATTAACTAGGGCTTCTGCAGGTAATGTAGCTATGTTAACACTTGAGGGCAGTATTAGTCAAAGCACTGAGAAATGGTTGGATTTTTTACATCTAAATTTTTAATCAAATGATGCTATTTATAGGAAAAATATCAAAGTAAAATATATATGGATGTAAAAGAAGAGTTCTTGCCTGCAGTGAATGTTTGGATCCATTGGTTTATTTTCTCAGAGATTAAGAGGAAACCTATAAGCAACAATTCCACCTTTGGTTCCTTCATTTTTCTCCCGTTGTTTTAGTCTCCTAAATGTAACTGTCAACACTGTGTGAAAATCTTGGAATGTGCTAGGTTGTGAGAACTTGTGAGTACTGAGTATTGTGAATCGTGAGTATTGGGGCTGCGATTTGATCCTCTTCAGTGTGATTATGTAGTGCAACTTGGTTGCGTTTTGGATTTAGTTTGCATATTCCATGGGTCCACAATTGCCCTGGAATTGCACCAAAGTAGCATAGGACCCTTCTCCAAAATCATGCTATGCTGAGTTGTACTGATATGAATGGGCACCATTGAAAACAATGTGATTTCCACTGTCATGCAACTCAAGTCGCATCTGAAATTGAACTAATATAGACCAAGCCTAAAGTTCACTTTTTAAGTTACAAAGTGAACCTGTTCCCTCAGATAATTCCTAATATTTTTACTACTTTTCCTAAAATTGTAAAGCCAACCAAAAATGGACACATGACCATGACCAGGAACTTGTATTAGTAATCAATTTACAATCGTGTTTGTAAAGTCACATCACCCTGACTGCATGGATCATCTCTAACACGCCAAAATGCTAAGAATGCTAATTTAACTGTTTCCTAATCAAGTGGTTTTAACTGTAACATGTGCCATGTGTGGCAGTCTGGGAACACGTATACACAACAGCAGCCATATGTTTGGTAGCTGCTGCAGTTTTTCAATGCAGGAGTGTGGCTGTAAAACACAGCTGGACTCCAGAATTCAAAGGCTTGTTTCTGTTTTTAAAGCAGCTTAATTTAAATAAACAATTTGCAGCAAAGGAATGTAAATTTCCTACTGACCTGCTCTGACACAGAACTTGTGTATTTCTTGGACATCCTCTTCCTCATGGTTTCCTTGACAGACTTCACTTTTTTACCAAGTGATATCCTTGGTGTGCTAGGAGATTTGATGACTTCCTTGTATATAACTTGTCCATCTTTTTCCTGCAAGAGTAAATCAGGTCAAATGTGCATTCCTAAAATGAGGAAGAGTGGTGGGTGGTGTTGGGTGAAGCTTTTTTTTTCTTTATTTGTACTCAATCAAGACAGAACAAATGATGATTGAAATAAACATATTTTTAGACCCTTAACCACAGACCCAGATGTTCTGCCATACATTATGAGTATAATTGTCCCAAACAGGAAAACATATTACATTTTATATCTTTTGCTGTGTTTTAAATTAATTCATTTTAAATCAAAGCCCAAATTTATTGGGGATTATAGACACAACAATCTCGGGCCGATTAGAGAGAAGCAAGCATGTATTCACAGTAGGTGTTCATTCTGGATTAATATATTAAAATTAATTTTGATAGATTTGTTACAGGCTTGTCTGGGGATTTCGACTGTCACCACCCAAAGAATCTACTGCATTCCAAATCAGCTTAGCTCACTCAGTACCATTTTCCCAGCAGTGACCTTGTAGCCTTGTAATTTCTTTAGTGATTCTGCTGTGAACTTTGAGGATAGATTGCTCAACAGTGCCTACAGCTACAGAGGGTCAGAGAGGGCTTGTTTTTAAGTTCGATCACAGATTTACTTTCTGGGTTTATATCTGGTAACCTTTTATGGTTAGAGAGTTAATTTTGAAAATAAATAAATAAATGCACACACACTGATAAAAAGAAAACGTGAATTTATTATTGTTTTGCATTCATGCCTGTGGAGCATTGTAAGGCTCCTCTTCTAGCCCCAGACCTAGAGTTATGGGGCTGGAGGAAGTCATCAAATGCGATGATGTCACCATGATAGTGCTTCACTGAGATCTATGAGCCTTTCTCCAGAAGTGGCAGATGGGACTTTTAGTCTTCCATTTACAGTTCCCTATGAATGGATCTGTGAATGAAGGATGCAGTGTGTGGGAGACTGCCAAGTATAACCCTGCCGAATTAAACAGTAAACAGAATCCTGCTGTGAAGTACCATGTGATTCAGGTAAGAATGGGGAAGGGGGAGCAGACTGAGGAATGTGACATGTTTCATGTTACACTTTAAGTATGGGTGTAAATATGGTCACAATGGTGGACTAAGCCTTTAAGACTATATTTTAGGTGTTAATTTAAAAAATGTTAGGTTTCAGGTAGGGGAAGCCTAAAGCATAAGGCTACATTCACATTGGCGATTAAAGCCAGTGTGAACTGTAGCATGAGTATGCGGATGACAGCAGCTAGGTTCAGCCGCTGGCCCTGTTAACTATGGCAGGTCATCAGTGGCCACAGCTATTTGTGGCTCTCCACAAGCTAGCAATTACTTGCAGTGATTAAATATAAATGGTGAATGCTTGTGAGCTATTATGAAATGAGGTGTTCAATATGTGACTTTAGATGTCCTTATTTCTCACGTGAGGTTCGCTGGCACTTGCACTGACTCATATGCTAGTGTATATATAATATTTACAAAATAGATAGTGCCGCGCTCCCATGTACCAATATGTATATCTTATACTTTCAAAGTGCTAATGAATAGCTTTCAAGATACTGCATGTATCAAACAATTATTACTAGTGACTCAAAACATCATTGTGAATATTAATCTTCATGCAAGTGACATTAATAACTGATAATCCTAAGGTGATAGTGCCTATTAAAGTACAGTGATATACAAATCAGAAATCTCCTCTATTCTACTGTGATCCTTATATTTATATTGTGCAAACACATATATATTATGTGCACGTGCTTATGATATATTCAATAAAAAAAAAAAAAAAAAAAAAAAAAAAAAAGTCTTTCAAAATAAATGTGCAGGTGGATTCTTGGTTCCCTCTCGCCGAGTGCTTAATGGTCTCCCTATGTGCTCACCTCTATATTTGCCTGAATAAATCCAGGCAAATACACTTTTTATCCTTCCAGGATAGATGGGATGGAATGATGCTCTTGAATTATCTCAGAAGGTGGATGTGGATTTATATTTGTTCTCCTGTAGCTGCTCATGAGTGGGTATACTGACCATCTCTCTGAGGATCTTCCAATTCCCCTCCTGGGGCTGTTTCCTTTTCCAGTCCTCCTTATATCAGCTCAAAGGGTGTTGTTCAATTGAGAAAGGAAGACAAACAGACCATAGTGTCTTATCCTTGTGCAAAAAGGGGGTTTATTGCTGCCAGTTGCACAGTAGTATACAATTGTAGTCCAGCATAAATGTGCTCTGCCTCTGTTCCTGCAGTGCTGTCTACCTGTGTCTGTATTCAGATCACCGAGCCTCTCCAGTGCAATGTCGTGACGTCAGAGGGGCTCTGACGTCACGACATTGCACTGGAGAGGCTCGGTGATCTGAATACAGACACAGGTAGACAGCACTGCAGGAACAGAGGCAGAGCACATTTATGCTGGACTACAATTGTATACTACTGTGCAACTGGCAGCAATAAACCCCCTTTTTGCACAAGGATAAGACACTATGGTCTGTTTGTCTTCCTTTCTCAATTGAACAACACCCTTTGAGCTGATATAAGGAGGACTGGAAAAGGAAACAGCCCCAGGAGGGGAATTGGAAGATCCTCAGAGAGATGGTCAGTATACCCACTCATGAGCAGCTACAGGAGAACAAATATAAATCCACATCCACCTTCTGAGATAATTCAAGAGCATCATTCCATCCCATCTATCCTGGAAGGATAAAAAGTGTATTTGCCTGGATTTATTCAGGCAAATATAGAGGTGAGCACATAGGGAGACCATTAAGCACTCGGCGAGAGGGAACCAAGAATCCACCTGCACATTTATTTTGAAAGACTTTTTTTTTTTTGTTTTTTTTTTTTTTTTTTTTATTGAATATATCATAAGCACGTGCACATAATATATATGTGTTTGCACAATATAAATATAAGGATCACAGTAGAATAGAGGAGTATTTCTGATTTGTATATCACTGTACTTTAATAGGCACTATCACCTTAGGATTATCAGTTATTAATGTCACTTGCATGAAGATTAATATTCACAATGATGTTTTGAGTCACTAGTAATAATTGTTTGATACATGCAGTATCTTGAAAGCTATTCATTAGCACTTTGAAAGTATAAGATATACATATTGGTACATGGGAGCGCGGCACTATCTATTTTGTAAATACTTGCAGTGATTGATGCTGGATGCACTTTGTGGATGTGCAGAGACAGCGAATAGCTGATGCTGCCTGCGACTTGTCATTACAGTAAACGGGGCCAGCAGCTGCACCTAGCCATTTCATCTGCAGCTGTAAACAGAAGATTCCTGCAGCTACAATTCGCACTGACCGTAAATGCTAGTGTAGTCTTAGGAGGTGTTTAAGAGTTAGTAAAAAGAGATTAGAAATACTGTGGAAATGTTTTGAGAATTGCTGCTCTGACAACAAAACTTACACATTACTTTGGCTCTAGCTTCTTTACAACAATAAAATGGTATGGCAGCATTTCTGCTTATGTGATTTGGTTATTTTGCTCTATTTTAACCTGATTGTGTTTTGAGTCATTTGCAGTGCATTTGGGCTAAAATGATAAACATACAGTAATTACTAAAATTAGAAGAACCTAAGAAACAAAACTTACCAGTGAATCTGCATTACTTCCAACATGTATTGAACGATTACTAAGGTCAAATCCACCAAAGCTGCAGGTCCTCTGTGAAGTGAACATAGCAGGAGGGAATGAAAGATAAAGAGAAAAAAGGAATGAGAGAGACAGGAAACAAAATACATAGAATTAAAATAAAAAAGATAATTTCAGCCATTATGGAAACATATGAAAACATACAAAATGGAAAAATCAAAATAATACCAAACTGGATGCTTCACCACAATGATTCATGCTTACCATGAAATGGTTTTTGGGTATTACTCTCTTTAAACTAATAATTGATATGTTTCCTTCACATTTCATTTTGGCTTGAGGGAATGAAAATGGCTTTTCATACAGTGTAGTTGTAAGGCTGAATTATTTTTATCCTTCATTAAAGCCTACAGAGCTGTTTCAGTCATCACAATACCATGCATGGTGAGCTATCGTATGGCAACCACATGGCTTACTATTCATTACAGAAAGCCCTGTCTATGTCTCTCCTCATCTGTCTACATAGCTGATAAAGAGGCCTAGTTATCTATACTAGATGTAATAATATAAATGCAAAAAGGTAAAAAAGAATGTTTTATTTCTTCCCAATCCACCAAATACATATATTTATACTCTATCAGCTTGATTGCTGTAATATGTGAAAGTTTTAGTTTTGGAGTTTTACATTTACATTAGAAGTATTACAAATTTGCAATATCTGGAGAGGATATTTTTTTCTTTTCGTCATTCTTCAGAAAACAAAACAAAACAAAAGAGAACAATTAATTTACAGGAAACACATTCTACATTAAAGTAAAAAGGAAATGCTAGGGCAGAGAGGCTTAGCAAAATGCAGTAGTGGCCTGTTGTCTTTAATATGCATACAAGAAGAAATCCTGGAGAAATGTAAAGGAATTTGTTCAGATTTAGTACAATTGATATGCTACACACTATATTCCATTTCATTTTTGGTTTGGAACAAGGAAAGGAGCTTAGAAAAATTCCACTACAGAGCTAATTCACAGAGGTGCTGCAGTATTTTTGCAGCAGTATGAACAGGTAAAACATTCATCTTGAAAATCTACAGTCTTTTAAACCCATTTTACATTTTTGCTGTCCACAAAATCTTGCAAAGCTTGACATCAGAGACCCGTAAAAAAACCTGATGAAATTATTCTCCATCTTTCTTCAAAGACTACACCAAAAATACTAAATGTGTGTTTTAACATATTATATGCAGAAGTCCTACCCCGGGTTCTAGTTTTAATCTAAAAGATATGCATGGATTTGAAATCCTGACTCTCCTTTTACAATTTTCCCATATAAATGAAAGCTCAAAGACATATTTTAACAGTAAGCGTTGAGGAATCTCTAAGCACAGCTGTATCTTGTACATTTGATTGCTTTCCTTAACACATTTCACTATAGAAACAAATTAACAATGTTAAAACATGGTGTTTAAAGTTGTAATTCAAATATATTACTTCAAGTTTTCCATAAGGCCTGCAGCCTAAACGTAGCCTATGGCAGTAAACAAAGTTTAAAGGGGAAAAATAACTCAATGAGATGCCCATCTTGAACCAATTGCTGCTTTTGTTTCCTAAATAAACCACTTGTTTAAAAAGAGTTTGCTGTGTTGGTATTTAAAACATTGTTATAAAACTGCAACTAAGATGACATACCAGGCCTAGAATGCCAAGATTTCCATATTCGACCACTTGTGCTTCCTTCTAATTATGTTTTTTACCTTTAATACATTTGGTATTTTGAAAGCTCTGATCCCACAGCAGCCAGGTATAATCAGCCAATAACATAGTCTGTACATAGTCTGTGCCAGAGAGATACCACTGCTTTGGTACCTTCCAAGACATTCTACTTTGTTAAACTGGTTGTTTGACACAAGAAATGGATGGTTCAGCTGGTCTTTTGTTCAAGCGATCAGGGAGAAGCAAGACAGTTTAGGCTTCTCTGTAACACTAGAGAAATATATGTGAAGAGTAAACATGCTAGGCAGCTGGAGGAAATAGAAAAAGCCAGTTTTTTTTTTTAACAAAGGACTGTAACCACACTAGGGAGATAAACAGATTTGTGCCACTACACAACAAAGGGGGAGTAACTTGGCTGAATATGTGAGGTTTTATTGCCACAAAACACAGAGCTAAAGTAATAAAACTCACAGCACGGCAAAAAGGATTCTAAATGATGTTGTGCATCTCTCTCTCTCTCTCTCTCTCTCTCTCTCTCTCTATATATATATTTGTTTATTGAAGCAAAACTAGTTAAACTAGGTAAATTACCAAGCATGTAAAATTACCAAGTAATATAAACTAATCTGAAAAAGTACTGATACAGTTTAAAAATGTATGCTATTTTAGTGAGAAAAAAAGCTGACCATTAAAGGGTGACCATAAACGGTCTAATCCCATCTCTAATCTGAGATATGATATGACACTAAGGCAACGATCTGCTTTGGATTACCCTAGGGGTTGATAAGGATTGCTTTTCTATCATTGGAAATGCTTTGTACTGCTCACACATATTTTACTGTTTGTTAGAAAATTCTTTTAACCAATCCTTTATTGGGTTGCTTTAGGTCATTAGGCATGTAGCACAAGCACAACAATGGGGTCCTGCGCTACAGAAGACCATAAGAAATGTCCCCAGATATGTTTCTTGTGGGAACTTCTGCTCATCATAGCCAGAATAATGCTCAAAGCTATTTCAAGCTATGCCCCTTACAAAATGTGGAACAAAGGCTCCATAGCTTTATCAGTGCTATGAGATATATACAGAACACTTTAGGCAAGATTCAACAAGAGATTCCAAAGTGTTAAAACTTTAAGACTGGTGATGCTTAGAAAGTGCTGATGGTGTTTGTCCCTATTGCAGTCTGCCATACCACGATTCATCTGTTAGTCAGAATTGAGTAAATATTCCAAGGATGAGCAGAAATATTTTCTAAATTAATTTGGGATTCCATAATAACTCATGTGAGTCAAAACTGAATCAGAACATTCTGACACAGAACTGCAAAATTTTATTTAAATCTCCAATAATTTTTTTTTGCTGTTTTAGAAGCAGTGGGGTGTGTTAAAAGTTCGATTCTTACTATTGTCTTTGTGCCGGTTGGATAGATTTCATGCAACTTCCAGTCCTATTGACTACACACATTTCGAGAAATATCTGCATTAGGTACAGAGACAGCAGTAAAAACTTAAAAGTCCAACCTCAAGAAACTTAAAAAAAATGATCCTTTACTCCCCTAGCAGAAGACACTCCCCCGTGCTCTGGGAAAGGACCATCCTTCAAATCCAACATCTTCTTAACTTATCATCATATCTGATGCAGAAGGTTATGGACCCTATATCAGTCTTGATGCCGTTAGGATCTATGACTGCTGGAGCGGTCCAGCAGCGCAGAGAATCGGGTAAACAAATTTACCTTTACATGCTCCCTAGACCTAAATGAGTGTCTAACCCTTGCAGTACAAGTGCAAACCCACTGCAAAGGAATTTTTTAAGTTTCCTGAAATTCAGCTGTAACAAAGGTTCACTTGACCATTCAATTCAAAACATAAAGACTCTTTTGGTTTGATATTTCCACCATACTTCTATGCACAAAGTCCTAAAATAGGAATACATGCTTTAATTTGGAAACATCCTCTTCTTTCTAGATCAGAAAGAAATCTTAATCGCTTCCATACCGGGCACTTTTACGCCCTTCCTGCCCAGGCCATATTTCAGGTTTCAGCGCTATCACACTTTGAATGACAATTGCGCGGTCATACAACACTGTACCCAAACTAAAATTTTATAATTTTCTTCACACAACTGGAGATTTCTTTTGGTGGTATTTAATCAACACTGGGGTTTTTTTTTTTGCTAATTAACAAAAAAAGACCGAACATTTTGAAAAAAAAAAACCCACGTTTTTCTTTGTTTCTGTTATAAAAGTTTGCAAATAAATAATTGTTCTTCATAAATTTAGGCCAAGATGTATTCTGCTACATGTCTTTGGTGAAAATAACCCAAATTAGGATGTATTATTTAGTTTGTAGGAAAGTTATAGAGTTCACAAACTATGGTATATATCTGAATATTGATCAATCCTGAATTACTGACAGCCAATCTAATTTCTTGAGGTCCAAGAATGTCAGAACAGTACAGATATCCCCCAAATGACCACTTTTTGCAAAGTAGACAGTCTGACATATTTCATAAGAGGCATGGCGAGTTTTTTAAAGTTGTAATTTTTTTTGTCATAATTTTTTGGAAAATTAAAAAAATTATTTTTACTATTTTATTTTTACATACTGTCACCAGTGCAGTACAGGGTCATCATATAACTGGCATGGCGGTGATCAGGGACACTGACTGGTGACAGTATGAAAAAAAAATATATAATTTTTTTTTACATTTTTTTTATTAGTTTTAATTTATTACTTTTTTTTTCTTTTTTTAAGATTTTTTTTTCATATTTCACTATGACCAAGTAGTACAATATTACCATAGTAACATTGTACTACTTTGGGGAAGTGATCAGTATTTTTTTTTTTTTTTACACAATTTCCTTACAGCAAAGAATTACTTTGCTATAAGCAAGCACTTACCTGAATGACATCGATTCATTCAGGGTTTTTATTTTTTTGTGCTTAGCTTTGATTTGGCCACGGCTAATCACATGACACAGCTGGGCTGTGATTGGCCCAGCTTGTGCATGTGATCGCTGTGATCATTCACAGCTAGATACACTAGTATACAATGGATGGCATGAAAGAAAGCCATCCATAATACAACTATCATGTGACCTGCTGTGATTGGTTACAGCAGGTCACATGGTACCGGCAACGAGGCCGTTACTCAGATCTCTCATCGGCCGTGTCCGAGGTACACGGCCGGTGACAGATCGCGCCGCTGCGTGGCTCTGCGGGCATACACACTGTGCATGCCCGAAAGGACACCATATGGCGTCCACCCAGAGGGACGAGGTTATAACCCGTCAGATTTTTTTTTCGCCATCTGCATCTCATTGGGGAGATTTACATTCACTTCCTATCACATAACCAAAAAGGAAGTAAGAGAAAATCCCTTTAAAATAAGGGAATTCGTTGGAGAACCCCAGGTCACTAGTGATCACATGGGAAAATTTCTCCTCTATAAATTTTGTGGAAACAGCCCAAAATTTGGCATTTTCTTTTACTTTCACCTTCAATGATAATGGTAAACAGGACAAATAGAGAGGATGAATCTCGCTAATGGGGAATTTCCCCATTCTAGCTAAGGCGAGAATGTCATGTCCTCTCTCCTCTGCATCTGAAGCTTCCTATGCAGATCACATATCACGGGAGGCATGAGGAGGGCAGACTTGGTGGTGTGTCATCAGGGGGTGGCTGCTTGAATCATAAAGAGACAACCGGCTATTGATGACATCAGCTGCAAAGATAGCAGCATGAGACCCAGTGTGCACCACAGAACAGAGGATCACAGCAGACCAATGCTGGATTAATGGGGAGTGTGAGTATTTATATATATTTTTTTAAGATAACTCAGTTTACCCACTTCAAAACATGGTCATTTCTGACTTTTCTCACATGTTAGAATCTTGGTAGAATCTTTGTTTTATAATTTTTTTGCTAGAAAGTTGCTTAGGTCCCCCAAATAATATATTTTTTTGAAAGCAGAGAAAGCAAATGCACTGCAAGTGCAGTTGCTCTAGATCTGTGGGGAACCTCTGTTGATTTTTATCATGCAATCATGTCCATGCAAAAATGCAGGTTTTTGTTCTTATTTTCCTTGCATGAGTTTAGGTATTCTTTGCAAAGTGAAGCTTTACCTCATTTACTAAGCTCTGGAACAAATGCACTTGCAGCGCACAGTATATTTTCCTTTAGTATATCAACACCAATATAATACCCAATTCCTTTGGTAAAATACAAAACAAGATGTTATGCCGAGTAAATAGATACCTAACATGTCAGACTTTAAATTTGCACATGCCTGTGGAATGGTGATAAACTACGGTACCTAAAAATTTCTATAGTCTATGCTTTAAAAGCCTTCACAGGCTACCAGTATTAGAGATAAACAGGAGGTCCATTGCTAGAATTATTGTTTTAAACACTGATGTTCATAGTCAAACCTTACGATCACCATTTACATATGCGTAAAGACCTATGTATGCTCTTGCATTTGCATGAAAATTTTTGTAATAACCCTCAAAATCATCTGATAAAACCGAGATCATTTTGATTGGATGCTTTACAAGCCGGTAGTGGACTATGATCATCAAACAGAAACCAAAAGGGACAAAATCCTTGTCACTACTGGTTTCTTACACCACACAGATTAAGTCATTGCTATCCCTCCCACCCTTAGCATGTCCTTTCACCACACATGCATAAAGCAAAGACTGGCTGACTTTATGTGTTGACCCTTCCTTTCCCAGTTTGAATTGTGCTGTAAAAGGGGATTAAATAAACCTAATAATAAGGCAGATTCAGATTTTTACATTAGCAGCCTGTAAAACACATTTAAGATTTTTTTAAATAAATACATAACTTCATTATATAAACTTAACATTTCCCAGCACACTTACCAGCTAGCCTACAAAAAAAAAAAAGAACAACTAACTGCAATAAAATAAAATTTTACATCTGCTTGGATTTCACACTTGGGATTTCTGTATTTCAGCATAATAATCTTGAGAGTATTTTCATTTTAATATTCACAATAAAAACATTAATTCTAATAGTTTACCCCATAAAGGAATTTCATAGCGATCTAGGTTATTCTGATAAAATACATCAATGTGGAGCTGCTTAAGAGAAAATGGCATCTGACCCGAAATAATAAGAAGACTATCAAAAGGCACACCCCAATTAACTTGTTGATCTATAATTCTTTTCACAAGCATAAGGGACCTATTTCAGGAGTAGAGCTATGCAGGGAATGACTTGTCTGTCCATCCTGCTATAAGAACATTGGATGAAATATCTGTGAAGTAATGTACATGCAACCAAATACAAAAATCTTTGTAATGCAATAAATACATGGCATGATTCAAACCATTAGCATGCATTGTTGTCTGAAAATAAAATGGAAAATGGAATGACCACTTCCACAAAATATGAATTTCCAGTATCTCCCAAAAGTTGAAATCAGCAGTGAATGTCATTCCAGTTAATGTGCGGTTTCCTGCTTGTGTTAAAGAGGGGTTGTGTAATACAGAAAAAATTAGTTTGTTGAAGAGAATAAGCAAAAGCTACTTTATTGCTAATTCACTGTGTTATGGACTTCTGGTATGTGTGAAGCAAAAAGAGGTTAAATGACAGTCATCATGAAGCTGCAATAACCTATTGTTAAGTGATAAAACAAACCTTTGAGGAATATAAGGGTCTCTGTCATACAGCAGAATTAAAGGCTGACTTCCCTAAGGTATTTCCACAAGTACACTCTGGATAATAATACTATTTACTAAAATGTTTGTTTAACTATGGAAGAGGTTATGGAATTATATAGCACTGTAGCAAGCATTGCCAGCTCCAGACAACTCCTTCAGCTATGAGGAAACTTAATTCCACAAAGACGTTGAGTAATAAAACAAAATCTTTTCTAATGTGTAAACTAGTAACACATTCATGCCAGTGTATTTGCAGGGGGCACTATTTGCACTTTTGAAACTATCCACAGTTCATTAAACTGTGTACTATGACATATTCCGTGTGAGATTTTTTTGGCATCTACCAGTTGTAGGAAAAATGAGCACATCTAAAGTGAAGGTCATAAGTGGGTGAGGTTATGCAAAATGATTTCTGACTGCAACTCAGTGGGAGATAGAGGATCAACATCAACCCTTTCGACTCACAGACTTTTGGTGGATTCTCAAGAGAACCCTTTTAGTACAGCGGTCGACAGTAGCAGCCCATTTTCTTTCAGCCTCCTCTTCCTCTTCTAAGAGACATCTCTTCTCGGACTTGCTAAGAGTCCTGTCACTTACAGGGCGCACAAGGTGGGTTAAGTTCAAATGACTGTACAGACTCCTCTCCACCACATAGGTTATGTTAAATTCACTGACTGTTCGCCCTCGTGGCCCGGTTAGGGAAGACACTGTTGCCACTTCTACACCTCTGGCGGAAAGTTTGTTGGTCACAGGCAGGGGAGGGCATTCCTTTCCGGGCTGGTCGCTGACAGAGAAAAGCTCTAGCACATGAGTAATTAGAGTCAAGTTTCTTCAGTCGTATCTGTTTTCTGATGTTTTGTACCTCTTCCAAAGAAACCAAAAGGTGATGCTTGTTCCTGTTTCTGTCATAAAAGCAAACATTTTCTGTACTTACCCCGTGATTTAAAGAGCCTAAGCTTTTCTTTAATTCTCGTTCTGTCAAGGAGCGAGAGACTTTTTGGGACTTGTCATCCTCTGGATAAGAAAAAAATGTTCCAATCTTCTTTGGGGGTTTGATGAGACCCCTGCTATCAGATTTGCTCAAAGTCTTTACAAGTTTTCTGTTAACACTCATTGTCTCAAGGTTTCCAGATGATGGGGACACGGAATAGGAGCTATCTTCTGTCTGTGTTTTTTCCAGCGAATTATCTCTACATTGTGGCTTCTTATGAACTCCAGAATAAAGTGCGGATTTATCATCCACAATGGGAGTGCTGTGAACTACATCTTCCAGACCTATTGTAGGAAATAAACATTATAAGTCCACCTAGAAGGTTATAAAACATGGGACATTATCACTATTGCATAAGCTGTCAGTATAAAAGGCAGGGCAACAGACTAATCACTTGCTGACTTGCCCCTAAGTGCCCCTTTCTATCTAATGAGGATCCAGTTTATGGATTTTACTTATTCACTTTAAACTGCAACAGTTGAGTGTGGGGGTGGAAAGAATATCCAGTAATTTTAGTTTTAAGATCTCAATGGTGCAGAAACAGTCAGTGAGTAAGTTCACGTATGCTCACTGAAAACTGAAATAAGTGAGATGAGCAAAAGAAGCAAATGAATAATAACCATAAGTTATAGATCTAACCTCAGAAAGCCAATACGAACTGGAGGGTAACCTCACAGTGATCTCTGCACTATGATGTTACCTTGATGTTACAGGAAGGGTTTAAATCAGGGGTCCTCAAACTACGGCCCGCGGGCTACATGCGGCCCGCCGAGGCCATTTATCCGGCCCGCCGGCAGAGGCGTATTTTCCGCGAGGAAGGGACACTAAGTACAGGGGTGGGCAGGAGGCTGCTGTACCTTACCTGGCTCCGGTCCCAGTCCCGCGACGATCCAGTCCAGGAAGCGCTGCTCCTTCATTTACTCCGGCCACTCCCTCACTCCTGCCGCTCGGCTCCGCCTACCTCACCAGTGATTGGGCACCAGAACTGTAGCTCAGGAAAGGCACACAGGCGGCCAATCACCTGCGAGGAGGAAGAGCCGAGCGGCCCCCCGCAAACATCGAGTGAGGGAGAGGTCGGAGTGAAGGACAGCTGACAGGTAAGTGTGCCGTGCTGATGGTGATGCTGCAACCAGGTATGGTTGGGGTCACTGCAACCAGGGGTCAGCAAGTTAAGTGTCATTGGTGTCACTGGGAGGAATAGTGCCCCATCATTGGTGTCACTGATACTAATGATGGGCATTATTCCTCCCACTGACACCAATGATGGGGCACTATTCCTCCCCCCCACTGACACCAACGATGGCGCACTATTCCACCCCCCACTGACACCAGCGATGGAACACTATTCCTTCCCCCACTGACACCAATGATGGGGTAATACTCCTCCCACTGACACCAATGTTCGGACACTATCCCCCCCACTGACACCAATGACGGGGCACTATTCCCCCCCACTGACACCAATGATGTACTATTCCTCCCACTGACACCAAAGATGGGGCACTATTCTTCCCATTGACACCAATGATGGGACACTATTCCTCCCACTGACACCACTGTTGGGACACTATCCCCTTCCCCACTGACACCAATGATGGGGCACTATTCTTCCTACTGACACCAATGATGGGACACTATTCCTCCCACTGACACCAATGATGGGACACTATTCCTCCCACTGACACCAATGTTGGGACACTATTCCTCCCCCCACAACAACAATGGGGCACTATTCCTCCCCCCACTGACACTAATGATGGGGCACTATTCCTCCCACTGACACCAATGATGGGGCACTATTCCTCCCACTGACACCAATGATGGGGCATGTTTCTTCCCACTGACACTAATGATGGGGCACGTTTCTTCCCACTGACACCAATGATGGGGCACTATCCCCCCCCACACTGACACCAACGATGGGGCACTTTCTTCCCCCCACTGACACCAACAATGGGGCACTATTCCTCCCCCCACTGACACTAATGATGGGGCACTATTCCTCCCACTGACACCAATGATGGGGCACTATTCCTCCCACTGACACCAATGATGGGGCACTATCCCCTTCCCCCACTGACACCAACGATGGGGCACTATTCCTCTCCCCACTGACACTAATGATGGGGCACTATTCATCCCACTGACACCAATGATGGGGCACTATTCCTCCTACTGACACCAACGATGGGGCACTTTCTTCCCCCCACTGACACCAACAATGGGGCACTATTCCTCCCCCCACTGACACTGATGGGGCACTATTCCTCCCACTGACACCAATGATGGGGCACTATTCCTCCCACTGACACCAATGATGGGGCACTATTCTTCCCACTGACACCAATGATGGGACACTATTCCTCCCCCTGACACCAATGTTGGGACATTATCCCCTTCCCCCACTGACACCAACGATGGGGCACTATTCCTCCCCCCACTGACACTAATGATGGGGCACTATTCATCCCACTGACACCAATGATGGGGCACTATTCCTCCTACTGACACCAATGATGGGGCACGATTCTTCCCACTGACACCAATGATGGGGCACTATTCCTCCCACTGACACCAATGATGGGGCATGATTCTTCCCACTGACACCAACAATGGGGCACGTTTCTTCCCACTGACACCAATGATGGGGCACTATTCCTCCCACTGACACTAATGATGGGGCACGATTCTTCCCACTGACACCAATGATGGGGCACTATTCCTCCCACTGACACCAATGATGGGGCACTATTTTGCTCCATAAGACACACTTGGGGGAAAAGTCTGTGCGTCTTATGGAGCGGCTGGCCCAGTATTCCCACTGCCGTTGTATGTCCGCAGTCCACATTTGTTCATAGTTTTTGGTTTTTTTTTAAACTATAGTCCGGCCCTTCAGCGGTCTGAGGGTCAGTGAACTGGCCCCCTGTTTAAAAAGTTTGAGGACCCCTGCTTTAAATCTAGCACAGAACACACAGCAACTGTATATGCTGTCTCTGCTGTCCTAAAACTTGTGTGGTCATGTTTTCACTGGCCTAGACATATGGCAACTTTTAAATGCATTTAAAATGTAGGATTATCACTTACCGTAGATGCTGAGGCAAATGCTGGACCCTGTAAACCAGACTACCCTAACTAAGTGGGTTTAGGATAGAGACTCTCAAATGCAACTAATTATAAATAATTTTCTGTGTGTTTGGTTTAATACAGGATTTTCTCAGCATCATTTATTGATTTTGACTATATTCACCTTCTGAATTGGGTTTCTTCATTTCTTCTGCTCTGATAAGCTTCTTCCTGACTCTTCGAGTAGAGTTCACTAGCTTGTGAAGCCTCTTGAACTTCACCGACTCCTCAGACTCTTCATCAGATTGTTCTCTCGACTAGTAGGGAAGGAGAAAATACACACAAATAGATCGAGAACTACAAAGCAAAAGTATAAATGGTAATGATTTCACTCATATGTGTTGAAAATGCTGCTGCCTCAATGGCAACACTTTATTTAGCAATACGTAAGGCCACATTGACAAAAAAACTGTAAAAAATATGGTTAATATGGCTAATATTTGTAATTGCAAATGATAACTGCTGTTCTCCCTCAGCAAAGCTTTGCATTAATCCTAGTCCTAATCAATTTTTCTCTCAAATGTAGTCTCAAATGTCAACAGAAAAATACAGGGGTCTCAAGTCATTTACATTCTGAGTTTAATGAAATAAGGACCTAGAGCAGGTCCACAAAACAGGTCTAGCCTTAGAAAAGCAGATTGCTTTATACTCATTCAGACAGCATGATATCTGATGTAAGATGTAGAAATCAATTTAAAAAATTTACAAAGGCAGCAAAATCCCAGAAAGCAAAAAGGCAGATATTAAGCACCAAAAAAAGTTAGGTAACAGCCTCAAGCACAAGAAACACAAGAAATGTTTGGTATAGTCAGATAACAGAGTTGATTTTACTTTTTTTTTTTATTTGAAGTCAACACATGGCACATAAATGCAATAACCAAAATGGAATTTCAAATGTAAATCACACACAATTCACATAAAAGGACCAGTAAAAGTAAATTATAAGTTACATCTACGTAACGCAACTGTTGTTGCCCAATATAAAAAAATCCAAACAAATTATGTATGGCATTGAATATAAAAATCATTATGCATTTATCGCTTTGTCGGACAGAAATCACAACCTTGCTGGATTTAATGCTGCAGAATCTCACTACAAATGGAGCAGCACCAAAGTGACAACTCACTGGTTCTGGCAATGACAGAATGATGCCATGGGAGAAGGGGAAGTGAATTAGTGATTCTGTGGTGATTTATCGCCTGTGATAAAATGGCATAGGGAAAATAGACAACATTTTCATCTTATTCCTGAGGTGTTGCTGTAGAACTAATCTGACAGAGTGGACACTAACTGAAATTTTCAATGTACCTAAACCTTGACAATTTTCATGTTTGCCCTCATTTAGTAAGAGGTATTTCTATGCTTACGAACTGAACTTTCAAAGTAATCAGTTCCTGTGTTGTGGGATGGGCTGTGAATGTAAGGCTTTTCTTTATTATAAGCTGCTCTGACATTCACATAGGATATTCACATATATGAGGAGGGGGGCTTAAAGCAATCGTAAACACTTGTGATGGAAACAGACACAGAGGAGGAGAAGCCAAGATCATTGGTGGGGGACCCCAGAAGAGGAGGTCTGGGGCTGCCTTTAAAACCGCTTTAATGGAAACCTTGAAGTCCCATATGTGATTGTATTTTCTATGAGCAGGAGTCAGTAACACCACTCACTATCTGAAATGACTACATCCAGTAAGGAATGGACACACCCCTTTATAAAATCCTGTCTAGGAGGCATCCTGCTATTCTAAACACTTGAACAGTCAATCAGCTAAACAGGGTCTGAGTGTCACCATGGATTGCATAATAGCAGTAAAAGTAGCCAGAGTAGACCAAGAGTAATTGCTGGGTAACAACAAATTAAGCACAATGGCTTATTGCAGGTACCTTTTTTATAAAAATTGTAACAAATGATTTTAGCTTGCAAAGGTTTACCAACACTTTAAGGACTGAAGCTCCATGGTGTAAGCAATTCTGGCTATATATGATATCTGTAACTCAACCAACAAATTAAAGCTCTGCTTTATATAGGTTTTCAGTGTATGGTTTAACCAACAAATTTAAAAGTGCATATGGAGACAAAAATATTCATCAGACACAAACAACCAACATGCTAAAAGAGTTCTGTAGAATCATGTGACCAAATCAGAAAAGTGTTTGTAAGAAAAACTATTCACGACAACAAGGGGTATTGTGCAAGCTTGCTACGGGTTAAGATATTATACTGTGCTGAGATAGAATATGGATCTGCCGGTGTATAGCCAGCTTTACACTTGAAAAAGCAAACTTCAGTATTCCCACAACAAAGAGCAATTGGCTAACAAGGCTGTAAACCTATAACCATAGACCAGATATTTCCCAACTTCATGTCACTTTTTTTATTTATTTCATCCATTTTTTTGTTTGATCAAATGTGCTGTATCCCAGATGTTCCCCCTTAAGAGCAAAATATAATAAAACAATAACAAAAAAATGCATTTTTCCTCCAGAAGCAGTGACAGCAGATGTAGCAACATGGAACAAAGATCTTGTAGCAAGGCCAATTTATATACAATATGATACTTCCGTTTCTGCACTTAAAATATATTTATCATGAAACTAAGACATATTACAGTAATTTCAAGGCATATCACAGTGCTGTTGTGCCGCAAATCAATTCATTACAGCACTGTATTTATCAGAACAAAATGTTCAATTTAATAAAAATAATTCTGTTATTCCTTATTGATATAAGTATCCGCAAAAAAACACATCTGCAAGTGAAATCATTGCTGAAATAAAACAAAATTGTTGCAGTATCTGGTGATATTCCAAATTAAAAGATAAATACATAAAAAAATACTAGTTGTTCTAGAGGACATTTATTTTCATGTACTGTACACAGTGGTGTATTTAACTTTTGTGCTGCCCTAGGCAACACAAAAATCGTCTGCCCACAGGGACACTGACCAACACAACCCCCCCTTTCCCCCTCCTGCGAAGAGAGAAATGACATTGACCAACAACACCCTTGCACCACACCTGGGAGAGCCTTCCAATACCCCTCCCCGCCTATAGAGAGACACTCATCTTCACAGCTCTGGACATCCCCAGGAGCGAGTTCTACATACACCATCAAACAGCCCACAGCCTCTCTCAGATCCCACCTGGTTCCCATGGTGCACATGTCCCTTCTTTCATCCCTTCTTCAAGAGGGAGGTGCTACCCCCCTGAAAAATGCCACAATAGGCAAGTGCCTTGTTTGCCTTGTGGTAAATACACCCCTGACTGTACATTTCCTTCAATCAAGTCTGAGCAACAGAAGAAAAAAGTCCATGACCTATTTCTAAAGTTCTGAAAAATCACGCCTTTTTGTTATAACAATTCACAGTACATGGTCAGTTATTTTTACCCTTGATTTAAAGCAGCACAGCTTTAAAAGAATGTGGAAGTTAAAAAACAATAGTAATTCTACATCAAATGAAATATTTCACTGTTGTTTCCAATGCACATGCTATATGTGAGCTATGGGGTTTCTGCCAGTATTGTTACAGGAGCAGTGGTGCCATTTCATCTTTACTTTACATATATTTTCTACTATAAAATGTAAAAATTGCAGAATTCCACTTTTATTACTGAATGAAATATCCTTGAATTTTTTAAAATTCTTTGTTAAATTTTAGTGGGGTTTCATCCGTTTTTGTTCTCCTGTTAAAGGGCCAGCACACTTTTTAAAAAAGAGAAATGGGGCTGGGTCCTCCTAGAGATTTATAAAAGCCTGGCTGGCTAAGAGAGGTAGGTGTGTGTGTAGGAGGGTAGTTTGCAAGTGGGGATGGCAAAGCCTTCCTTGCAAGCTGAAGGTCTCCCCTCTGCCAATATATCTGCTCCACTAACCCCATGTGAATCATTACAGGGTACAAGTCTCTAGTGTTTGTTAAAAACAAAGTCAATCTTAAAAGAATATGCTGTACTACTGCGCAACCTCACATGCACATTTAAGACATTCGCCCAAGTATGTAATTTAAAAGATTTAAGTATTTCAATGTTGTCCTTTAAGCAGCATTAAAAAGACCCAGCTGAACAGTATTTTTTAAACTTTTCATGCATTGGGAAATATCTCCAGAGACTTTGCCCTGCTATCCATGGCGATTTTTAACAAAAGCAGAAAAAAAAAAAACAAGAATTGGCTCCCATAGCCTTTTTAATGGGGATTGACACTATGTTTGGGTTTAGTAAACTTTTTGCTGGGTTCACCAATCTCAGCCCTGCCCAGTTCGCTCCTCAACATTCATGAGCATCATGAGGCTCGCATCAGCATATCAGCATGGCTCGTGCCACTTTATACAGAAGTGTTTAAAGGACCATCTGACTGAACAAGTACACAATATATCAAGATATATATATATATATATACATATATACACACACACACACACTCACATATATGAGAGACAGCTCTTTAACCCTTTTTTTTTTTTTGCAAGAGCTGTTTTTGCATTTTTTTTTTTTTTGCACGTTTAAAAAATCATTTTAGGCGTGAAGATTACACAAAACACTTGAACAGTATACATTTTCTGAAAGCAAACACCCTAGAGAATAAAATAAAGGTAGCTTAAATTTTTTTATGTCACACAATATTACTCCAAAGGTCTAGGAAATGCAAAATTTCTTTAATTAAACTGAATGTTGGGGCAAACGCAAAAAATTACCCATATTTTTTGTAAAATATAAAAGACGAGGGTGCAGCGAGTAAATAGATACCCAACATGTCAAACCTTAAATTTGCGTGTGCCTGTAAAATGGCAACAAACTTCAGCACCCTATATTTTCTATAGGCGACACTTCAAAAGCCCTTATAGGTCATCAGTTTATTGTTACGGAGGAGATCTTGTGCTAGAATTATTACTCTCACTCTGGTGTGCGTGGCAATACATAATCGTAACATGTGTTGCAATCAACATTTTCACACATAGGCGCCTCCGCCGCATGTGTTTACATTTTACATTTGTATGTGTGTGCCTCATTTTTTTTTGGAGGGGGGGGGGCTTGGGTGTAACTTTTTTCTTTGCCAAAAAAGTTTTTCTTTTTTTTTTCTTCATCACATAGAGGACACAAAGTCCCCTATGTGATGATTTTTAGGTGACAGGTTCTCTTTATTGAGGGAGGGAGAATGTCACCAGCACACCAAGGATCACCAATATGGGTCCAAAAGTTTTAATGAGTGATCGCATAGTTACAGCAAGGCAACGTTTCTGAGTCTCACAGGACCCATTCCTCAGGCATGTGACGGTT